CGGAGGGGGAGAATGGAGGGGGCAGGGGCAGGGGGACGGGTGGGGAGAAAGGAGGGGGCAAGGGCAGTGGGGGGGTGGCGCCCGGGGCAGCACGGCGCCCGGCCGGACACACAGCGGGGCGGGGGAGTGGACGAGACAGGGGCACTGGGAAGGGGTAGAGGACGGGGCGGGTCAGTGAGGCGGGCGGGGACGGAGAGGGCAGACGGGGAAGTGGCAGGAAGGGCGGGGTGCGGGAAAGGACAGTGCGGACGCGTGGAGGAGGGGCAGATCAGACACTTCTTTTCGTTGCGGGAAGTCGGGGTGTCTGCATTGTATGGTCGGGGGGTGGTGGCGTTGGGGTCTCTACACGGAGCTGCCTGTCTCTGGTGCTGGGACCCCAGTCTCTTGGGGCGGGCTGCCTTTGCTCGCGGGTCTCACTCCTTGCTTCACAGCTCGTTTGTTTTGTTGCGGAGCCTTTTCTCAGCTGAGACCCCCACCCTGGCTGGCCTGTGCTGCTGTTGCGCTTTGAACGTTATGCTAAGCATTTTGGAGCATTTAGTTTGAACCTGTGTAAAACACTCCTGGGCAGATAAACGGCCCGGGAGAGTAGAGGGGTGGATTTTAGCGATGCTTCATTCTGAATTTTTGCTTGGTCTGAAATGAGAGAAGAAGTTTCTTTCTGTGTGAATTAAACAGTCTGTAAAATACTAGTTCTTTCTTATCGTAATCACTCGGAGGGGCCTGTGCAAAGATACTCAGTGCAGAAGGTCCCTTATCATGATAGCCAGAGACCCGACAACACACAGATACCTCTAAGAAGTGTTAACAAGAACAGCCGGGATTCTGGAAACTGGAAGCTCTCTAAAAATCCAGTGCAGTCTTCACCCTTGAGGTTACTCACTTCTTGCAATTGAACAATGAAAATAGGGCGATTGGGTTGCAGGATTTGGTTTTTTTTATTGTAGCCTTTCTGTAATTGTTCCAGTGAGTTAATGCACTTCCTCATGTTTGGATTGCAGATACTGCTGGGGAAGCTTTGTTTATTTAAAACTGACCTGCTGGGAGGGGGTTGTTCCTTTTGTGCTGCTTTGTGATGTGTAACTGTAGCCTGAACATTTTAAGGTTTTATTTGCTTTCTGTGACCTTATAGTTAGGAATTTCAAGCTTGAGATGTGAATTTGGACAGAGGGAGACTGATCTGAAATACTGAGCTGGCAGCATAGAGATGGTAGTTGAACTTCTTTGCAATTTAGTTTACTTGGCTATAAGGTATAGATGAAGAGCCCTATACAACTTCCACAGAAAGATGGAGTGGGGATGAGGATTTTCAGAAAGACCTATTGATGGAGGATTAGAGATGTAGGGGAATCAGAAGAGAACAGTTCACTGCTGAGGAAAAGGGTTTTAACTCATGCTCACTAAGGCACAGCAATTTAGCTTTAAACTTGGGTTAGCAGTGCTAGCTCATCTGAGGCTGCCCTATAGACTTTAACAGTATACTAATAAGAGTTAAATGCTGTGTTGCTGTATCTTCACTGTTTTGTCCTAAATTAGCTACCCTTGAGTTAAGCATACTTTTTTTATGTAGACATACCCAAGAGTGGTGAAAAGGCATACTTGCATGCAGAATATTCTCAATAAAAACTTATTGAAACTAAAAACAGTGTACCATCCTATGTATTTTCGGGTTTAAAAATGTGGCTCTCAAAATAAATTTCAATCGTGGTTTTGGCGAGATTTGGCTCAGTTGAAAAAAAAGGTTGCCCACCACTGGTCTAGACAGTATTTGGTCCTGCCATGAGGGCAGGGGACTGGACTCGATGACCTCTCGAGGTCCCTTCCAGTCCTAGTATTCTATGATTCTGTAGGCTGAGATCATTACACACATCAGGGGCTTTTTCTTTTTTCTATTCTTGTGCTGCAAGCCCTCCCATCCCCCTGTTTCATGGACTCCCTGCAGCCCATCTTCCCCCAAAGACAGAGTCTCATTACTGCCTTCCCCACCGTACCTGGGGCTCTGTTTTCCCCATGTCTCATTCACCCAGTCATTATCTTCCATCCCCGCCCCTCTACAATGCTTAGGGCTTTTTGTGCTTCCATATTCCCCCTATGCTAAGTACTCTGTGCGTGTTCCTCCACATTCTCCTTCTTCCCTTCCATACCAGGAGCTCTGTGTTTCCCCAGGATCCCCTCCCTCCATACCATTGTCCCCCCATTCTCACTATGCTAAGGGCTTCTAAATGCTCCTCCTCCCCATTTCCTCTTCGTGCCCATTCCACAGGCTCTGTGTACCCTTGTTTCATCCTTGTCAGACTGCTGAATTATTCCTTCCTTGCAATGAGCTCTTTGTGCACA